TCTTTCTCTCTCTTTCTCTCTCACCCTTTCACTGTCTCTTTATATGTTTTTTCTTTTTTTTTACTTTAGTTTTTTCTGTCTTACTTTTTTTATATAACCAAGAACGAGTGAGATTGATTTATTACCTTTAAGTCGAATCGAAATTTCCTGCCGTCTATCTTTTTGTGGTAAAAGGATGGAATTATTAACGCGATCGTTTTCGTTGGATTCATTTGTGTTAAGAAAAAAAAAAAAATAACAAAAAAGAGAAAAATATAAAAAACAACACGAGTAGAAGTGAAGATTGTTGCTAAGTTTCGTATTCCGTAAGCTGTCATTAGCCCGCAAAATTTTTGAACAAGCACGTTGCTCCCTTTGGAATGCTTCGGTCGATCGCGTAGATGAAAAGGTTAGATAGGGCCTATGCTTGGCCTCGTATCAGATAACAGTTCAGATATGTAGCAAGGGTTAAGGGTGGTAAAGGGTTTTTATATATATATATATCTCTCTATACCTTCGTAGAAATTGTTCTCCGGACAAACATACTGATGTCTAACAAACACAACGCAGACTCGTGTATACAGAAATGTGTTGCACTCCCGGAATGCGAGAGCGCGATAGTCTTCGAGCGTGAGATCCTTTTCTTCCTTTTGTAACCAGGCTAATCGTATAAATCATTTTTCTACTCGGTGAATTTTCATCTCAACGATCGCTTAATGTTCAGCTGGACTCCAAATAGAATATATGTAAAACACGCACTCAGCCTACACGTAGAATGTTTAAAGAAAGGAAAGATTCATATAGAAAAGTTCAAAAAAAAAAAAAGTTAACTCTCTTCATCGTTTTTATTAAAATTTATAAAAAAAGAAAGATAGAGATAAGATGATGTTTAATGAAATTCGATCTTTTTAAATCGCCCGAATTATATCGAGTCCATTAAAAATCACGTTTAGACGTGTAAAAAGTTTTAAAGGCAAGCCGAGTAAAAATGTTCAGCATCTGTCGCAATGCTGAAGAAAGAGGACAGAGATGAGATATAAGAAGGGTAAGGTGAACGAAGGAAAGAAGAGAGAGAGTGAAAGAGAGAGAGAAACGTGTTAAGCGCAGGTCCATGTCGTGTCAACCGTCTTGATGTCACCTCCTGTCGTCTAGCGTTTTCGTGGCTTGCTCTTAATAGAACTCCTTGCGCAGCTCGCATGTATTCGCACCCGAAGAGTCTTGTACTCGACGTGTCACCGTCGTGTCTCAACGATCCAACTGACTGACGGACCGGCTGCTCGACTAAGAACACGACTAGCCTAACCTCGATCGACCCTTCTAGTAAAACTTCGTAAAGACCCCGGATATTCCACGGATCACCCCTTTACCTATAACCCGCGTTCTTTCGTTAGAGGTTGACTTTTTTCGATTGTCAAATATCTCATTTTCTCTCTCTCTCTCTCTCTCTCTCTTTCTTTCCTCGAAAACATTTCAACAGATTGTGACCACGTGTAATAAGAAATAGTTGGAGATCTTTCTCGGTTTCACAAGATATAGTTTTCAATCATTTCATTCGTATAAACTTTAAAGTTGTTGACTCGATTAAGCACATCCATTATGATTGAATAAATTCTCTTATTGAATGTTTAAAAAATATTGAAAAATGACATACCTACTATATGTATCTAACAATCTAACAATTTAAAGACCTACCACCCAACAAACTTGGATATAGCTTGTTGGAAGAGGGATAGAAATAAATAGAATGAATAAAAGAAGATAGAAAGGTGTACATTACTTGCAGCATGCCTGATCGAGAAGTTACAGTGTCTCTCGGCAACCTTCATCCAAGCTATTCAGTGCATCCTCGGTGCATCGATGTCGACGAGACACAGACGGCAATTAATCACCGGAAAGGATACATCAGGATCTAAAGGCAAACGAGACAGAGAGAAAGAGAGATAGCATTAGAGTTGGAGATCGCGAAGGAGAGAGAGAGAGAAAAAAGAGAAAGAAAGAAAGAAAAAGAAAAAAGATAGAAAGAGAGAGAGAGAGAGAGAGAGAGAGAGAGAGAGAGAGAGAGAAGCCATGTTGGATCCTCCAACGCGTTGTTACGCGTGCCAGTTTTGTTAGCCACGTACGACTCGTCTCTTTTCGTAACTAGAAGGAAAAAGCGAGAAAGAGAAATTCCATTTGTCTATTACAAAACGGGTAGGTGTGTCGGACGAACGATATGCACACCGAAACGAGCAACCCAGAAAGCGGGAACGCTATTTATTAAAAAGTCAGACTGTACGAGCAAGCGACGTGCTACATCGGGAGGAAAGCGATAACGCTCAACCGAGGGACCGGTCATTAAGCTCGTTCGGCGCCCATTGACCAGCCACTGTGAAAGCTCTGTCTCTATCTGTCTTCCTCTCTCTCTCTCTCTCTCTATATATGTATCTACTCCTCTTTTCGTTTCTTCCATTTTTAATTTCCTCTTTTGCATCGCCCTTCGAAATTACATGCAAAAACGTTTTATCGAGAAAATAAGCTTAAAAAAACTTTACGCCGTTCTATTAAAATCATTTAATGCAAATTACGAACTATCGATCAATAAGAAATATTTATTAGGTAATAAAGATTTATTTTGATAATAATATAAATTATATTGTCAAATTTTGTTTACTATGACGAGTGATATTATATAGATTTATTTAAAATATGAACAAAAATAGATTACATTTCTATTCGCAAATATTTACACTGATCTTTGCCAATAAAACATAAGCTTTGATCTCGTAAAGTCGTTTATATCCTATTATTGTCAAAACATCAAATAATTCGCAATATTGTATAAATTTCTTTTGAAAAAGAAAAAAGAAAAAAAGAAAAGAAAAGAAAAAAAACATTACATTATTATTGACAAACGTTGACAGGGAATCTTTGCCAATAAACATTAGTTTCGATTTCGAAAGTCCGTTCATCGTCTTGAGTATCCTCGTCTATTAGCCATTCATCGTGAAAAGCGCGGGATGTTAGCGAGAAACGCTTCGGGCTAATCGTTGATCACCGTATGAAAGCTCCCTTAACCGCCATGAATACCATTCCCCTCCCTCCCTCTAGCAATCCCCACCCTCCCTCCCACCCTCCCACCATCACACTCTCTTTCTCACTCTCTCCCTCTCCCTTTCTCTATCTTTCTCTGTCTATTTGTTTCTCTCTCACTTTGACTCGGAGGTTGTTCCGGCGCTTAGAACGAGTCGTCATGGGGCGGTCGTCTGCCACACGCACGCACTCAGAAATGCATGGGAGTAGAGAACCCGTTCAATTCTCCCGAGAGAGAATTCTCGCTCTCACTATTAATAGCGTATTCATTATTGTTGTAAATGAAGCGACTCTTTCATATCCGCATCGACGCGAGGAGGTGGAGGTGGAGGAGGAGGAGGAGGCGCCCACGCAAACGAGTCCTCGCGAACACCTCCTTGTTCGATATCAAGGAAACACCTGCGTATCCGCTCAACCGAATCGTCCAGCTGTCGATTCATGTATCGATCCACGAATTTTCAAGATCATTTTGTGCGATATCCTACTCCTCCGTATAAATTTATTCTACGCTCGAAGGATCTTTAATACTGTTACCTCGTAACAAGCTAGCTTATTAATGAAATCTGTTTAATTATTCGATTGAGATCTATTGGTATATGCGAATAGATACTTGTTAATACACTTGCTCCACAATTTTCATTTTTTCTTTTAGTTAAGATATAAATGTTAGATGTCTTGTTTCCTATCGTTCATATGCTAATTATCCTATATTCACGTTCGATTTATGCGACTGCCAGTTTCATGATTTTTCTATGTTTCTTTCCCCCCCCCCGTCGTTGATAAGCTTCTCTTCTGAGAGTTTTCTATTTTCTTTCGTCGCGTTCTATTAAATATTTCTATTTAAACAACGATCATCTCTTCCGTAGCCAGCCGACTTCGTCTTCTGTCCTTCTCTCTCTCTCTCTGTCTTCATGTAGAGACGACTGATCTCACGGATTAGATTATTTTTGTGCTCTCTCGAAGAAGACAAGGATTAGAGTGTGGCTATTTATGTGCTGTGAGAAGGGTTTCTAAAGTCTTTTCTTGAAAGAAAAATCGAACTCTTACTTTTACTCTTAAAAGAAACTACAAAGTTAATATAATTATTGTGTAAGTTGTAACATTCTGGGAGGGTTGTTATTCGATTTAAATGATCGTTCGAAATTTTTCCATCAAAACGTGTAAGATAAGTTGAATGCGATAGGCGTGGTACATTATCGTAATAATAGCGTTTCGAAATTATTTATGGCCGAGGCGTGCTAAGCAAATAGGTAAAACAGCTGCCAAGTGACCAGTTTGCAATCCAGTGGCACCGGCCAAGACGTTAACCACGACTCGTTGAAATAATTAACGAGCTCGTCATGCTTCCGTCCGCGTATCCTCCGCTTCCGTTCTTTTTATTATTCCTTCGCCCTTCTTCTTCCCTTCCGTGTAAAAAGTATCGATCTTTTTATTCCCTTTTTTTCTTTTTTTCTTTTGTCAAACAAATTCCAAAAAGAAACATTATCTACGATATCCTTGATTGTATTTCTAAAGATTCTCTCGCATGGTTTCATACGTAAATAAAAAAAAATGTTCTTCCTGATCGATGAGAATTAAAACAATACATTAGGTAACTCCCAATTAAACAGTACTTACATATGTATTCTATTGTACTCGTCTCTATATTATTTCTTCTACTATACTTAATTATCTTCAAGGAAACACACAACGTATATAAACGATTCAATTTACATTTAAATAAGCCGAGTTATTACGTATTTACGAAGATACATTAATAGACGAATTACATCCCGTTTACGTAAACTTGTAATATCCATTCTAACAAATTTGAAAGATAAAATAAGTAGACAAGATAAATAACGAACGAACTTATATATTCTTTCGGTCAAATTCACTTATATTATTTTTCAAAGCATCATCCTCTTTTTTTAGCACATATTCTAAAATATATTTTTGTTTCTTGGTTCTAGGCACGGTGAATGCAAATGGCGAAACGAAACGACAAAGGACATCTTACACGAGGTATCAAACTTTAGAACTGGAAAAGGAGTTCCATTTCAACCGCTACCTGACGAGGCGGCGTCGTATCGAAATTGCCCATGCCCTTTGCCTGACGGAACGTCAGATCAAGATCTGGTTTCAAAACCGGCGGATGAAGTGGAAGAAAGAACACAAGATGGCGAGCATGAATATCGTACCGTACCACATGTCGCCGTACGGGCACCCTTACCAATTTGCGCCGCACCCAGGCCAGTTTGCTCACTTGGCCACATAGGACGAGTTCTCGCCCGCCGAGCTCGGAGCACACGCTGTCCGTTTTCCCGGGATGTACGGCGAGCAGAACTTCTAAAAGGCTTTTCCTTTCGATCGGACGCTTCGTTTCCAGTAGGATTCGCGAGCTCGACATTTTCGTCTAATCGCTATTAACTTGTCATGAAATAATCTCTTTTCTGTCTTATCAAATCTACCGAATTTTCTTCTTTGAAATATTTCCATTTTGATAAAAGACAGAAAATTCGTAGGGCATGTTTGTTCCATTAAAGCGATTACACTATGTCACAAAAGCAACTATTCGAAATTGAAGGGAAGCCAAAATTTTCTGCGAATTTAGTGCCGTGCGCCCGATTTAAGACTGGACGCGCTCCGAGGGACTCTCACGTATAGTCATGTATATAAAAATATACATACATTCATATATACGTAGGTAAAAAAAACGCATGGGGAAAATTTCTAAATGATCTTGCGTACCTTATGAGAGCCCACCTCAGCGGGTGAGATAATCGAAACTCTAGTTTAAGGGTAGACATTAATGATTTAACAACAACAACAATAATAATAACAACAACAACAACAAAGAAAATAATGGAAAAAAAATGCATAAGAAAAGAAATCTCGATTTTAGAAGTGAAACTTAATTATCTTCGTCCTATTGTCTGGCTGCACACTGTTTCACGTGATCCGTAAATAAACACGAATTGTATTTGTAAATGGATTAATAATCGATAATTGATAAAAACGGATGAATAATCGAACATGTATTATTATTCTTTTTTTTTTCTTCTCTCTCGGATCGTCCTGTACTTACTTATTTACTTTTTCTCCGCCTCGCTACTTATTCTCGAAATTATCTATCGAATGTGTGTCCATTCGACGATGAATTCGACGCGATGGTAGGAGGAAACAGTTTCTATCTGCACGTTGAAGTCACTATTCCTAGTATGTAAGGTGCCTATAAATACTCGAAACCTTCTTCGCCAATTATTATTTTCCGGTCTAAACGCGACATTTTTGAATATCGCTAAGCATCTCGATTTAACATTTTATTAAACGAAATTTATTCGTTGTTCGTTTAACTATATATATATATATTAAATCGAATTCGTTCGAAACGATTAATTCGATTTATGCGAGCAACGATTATCTGAAAATTCAATTGTAACGTTGACGTGTACAAATCAATAATCTCCTTTTTGAGATTAGTAATAATTAGTGATTTTTATTTAAAAATTTATTTTACGCTCGATATTAATTATACGTATAATAAATGTGAACAAGTACTCGTTTTTATAGCCTGCAATTGTTTTTTGCTTTTTCTTCTTCTTCTTTTCTTCTCTATACTTTTCTCATTTATGGAAAAAAGTATACGTAAGTAATAATCTCAAGATCAGGCATAAAAATGAAATAAAAAAAAGACTCAATATAACGAAACGGTGGGCAGCTTAGGCGCTGTAAGCTCTTTGTAAATAGTTTGCACCGTAATGTAACTCGTTCCTATAAATGAAAGAAGAAAAAAAAAAATTAAATAAATAAATATTTGTCGACTTATTGTTAGATTAAAAAAAAGAAAAAAAAATTCCTTAAACAACTTGGCTGTTTTTTTCGAACCATCGTTCTAAATTAAACGTTTTATCTCTTCGGTAAGATATTTAAATATATCAGATAAATAATAGATGTAAAACCCCCAATCTTTATTCCGTCTTTTCGATGTTACACGATTGAAAACGATGGAACAAATAAATAAATAATTAAATAAATAAATATATATATATATATATATATATATAAAAAAATGAAAAAAAAAAAGATAAGATTCGATCGCCTAGAAACGTATTATCTCGAATATCAAATCGAAATTATTATTTTCGAGTATATCGATCGATCATTTCAGTTGGAAAAATAGATTTTTCAGTCGTTTGGCTCGAGTCTGTAAAAAAATTCAATTAACGACGAGCGTTCCAGAGTTCTCGTTGTGCTTGTGTTATATACATACGCGTATACGTGTGAGTGTATTCTTGTGATACAAGAAAGAACGAAGGAGAGAGAGAGAGAGAGAGAGCGAGAGAGAGAGCGAGAGAGAAAGACAGACAGAATGAATGAGATTCATTTTATGCTTTAGATCGAGAAGTCGTATACGATTGCGACGTGCTAAGCAAATTCGGAATAATACAGGGATTCTTAAAATATATCGATGTGTTTAAAGTTAAAATAAAGAAGAAAAAAAAAAAAGAAGAAGAAATGAAAAAGGTAACAAGAAAGAAAGCTAAAATATAAAGTAAGGATAAAATAAAACTTGAAAAATAAAAATAAAATTGATGACCGGAAGAGACGCTTTATTACGCGACTGGCGAGAGGAGGTTTCTTTATAAAGTAGATTAACGATGAATTGTACATAATTATTGAATATAATTGAACAACGCGATATTGAACGACGTTATCTCGGCAAGGCGTTAACGAAAGAGCAGAGTACTTCGTTGTTTGTTAATTTATCGACGCGTTCGGATTAGTGGTAGGGGAAGAAGTTGATGGAAACGAACGAATCAGGAACGATTCTTCTTCTTTCTTCGAACGAATGAAAACGCGCGTAAATTGCGATTTTATCGTATGAACGAGAGAATTCACTTATCGATCGTATACTATTTTACATCGTTAAGAAATGTTCTTTCATTATCGTCTTGCTGTTGTTTAGGAATATTTAACTAATTAATAAATAGCGATTATTATTATTATTATTATTATTATTACTATTGCTACTATTAATATTATTAATTTTATTATTATTACATGATTCTTCTTCTTCTTCTTATTCTTATTATTAATATTATTATTGACACGATTGATATTATTATCACTATTATTATTATTATTATTATTATTATTATTATTATTATTATTATTATTATTGAGAGTGAGTCTGTTGCTAATGACCTGGTCCAGTGTTAATAATGTATTTTATTTGTTTCGTTATTACGTTTTTGTTGTTCACGCTGCGTGTTGTAAAAAACGCGTCGTAAGATTTAAACTTGTAAGCGATGCGTATCGAAAAAAGCAGAATATGTTATGTCCGCGATGGCACCATATGTGGGAAAACGTGAAATTTCAAAATAATTTCGATTCTTTAATTCTTTTTTTCTTTTCTATATATAAATAGATATTTACGTGCATTCTATATGTTGCATGGAATGTATTTAAATACGTACGAGCAAAGCAACATCCTTATTTTTGATCTCTCGGCAAAGTTAAAATTAAAGAAGGATAAAGAAAAAAAGGATTGAATAAAAAATCGAAATATTTCGTGATTTACACGTCGGGTGCGAAAGATTCGTTCTCCATGTTCTTTTTCATTTATTTTTTTTTTTTGTTTCTTTTCTTTTCTTTTCTTTTTTTATTTGTTTCGATTTCTTTAATTAAGCTCAAGTATTATGTTCACGTAGCGTCTCTGAAATGTTACTTCATTCCATGTAATATACGTAATAGTCTAAACTAAACTACCTACTTATTACATCTACGTAATCTAGAGCACCATACGCGTAAGGCCACATAATTATATATATATAAATACATAATTTAAATTATAATTATTATATATATATATAAATGGTATGACGTACTGAGAAACTAAAAAAAAAAAAAGCCCACACAATAAGAGAAGACAAACTTTGATCTCATTCGATTCGAACCCCACTCCCCCCCTTGCAACGAAACCTTTCCAAAGCGACGCATTCGGTCCTCGTCTCTCGGCTCAATTCTAATTCGTTCGAAAGAAGATGAAGGAGGATGAGGAAAGAGAAGAAAACAGAAAGGGAAAGAAAGAAAGAAAGAAAGAAAGAGAATTCGGCCGGTTTCGTCCGTCGACCGCGACGAATTTCAGCGGGTGCTCGGAACAATGCACTTTTAGCAACGCAAATTGGCAGCTCGTTATAAATCACGGCGAGTTCACAGGCCACGTATGTATACACATATATACACGACACAACAAAGACAATAACAACGGCTATACAACCAACTACGAAACGTAGAGACTTTGTTGAAACGATTCGCTTGTTGTTTGACTTTTATCGCCGTTAACGATAAGTCGAATAACATTTTATGAATTGGTCAGATAAAATTATCTGTGTGCATGTTAGTAGAGTTATACATATTTATGTTTAACAAAGAGAATCAAACGCGTTGCGTAGAAAAAAATCCGGCTAATTACAATGCCGGGAACGTTCGACGATAATTGTTATGGTCGTTGATAAAGAAACGATGCACGTTCTATCGACTTGGATGTAAAATTCTACTGGTTAAACAAGAGAAAGAGAGAAACGAAAGAAAACGACAAGGAAGATAGCGAATGTGAGGAGAAAAGATAAGATGCCCGGAGGTTATCCCTGTATGAACACCCTATAGAAGATTATATTTCGTTAAAAACGCATTTAAACACTTTAATTACCACTTAAATAAATAAGAACGATGTAAAGCAATAAAAAAAAACTTCACGGTGAAAATATTATTTCTTCGGAGAACATACGGTTCAGATGATATTTTCTCATCTCATACTCTATTATCATTATTTTTCATTGTACAATTAGCTTAGTTCGTATATCGAATATATCATTTGCCACTCGCTAGATTCAATCTAATTTTGACCCCACTTCGACACCAATAATCACGAGAACTGATAAACGTTTCTATTAACATCGTTTTTCTTTACAATACTTATTCAATAAAGTATAAAGAAAGAAAAAAATGATAAAACTCAATAAAATTTTTAAAGAAATGTTTCAATCCAAACGATCTCTCACAGTTTTGAACATAAAAAGAAAAACGTATGAAACCATTAAAAAAAAAAAAAAAACCAATTCTACACCACGTGGTGATTTTATTTAATATATCAAACAATTCTCACCAACTTCCAAAACTGTAAAAGATATTTGAGCACCCTATATAGAAAAAATATACCTAAGCATATAATTCAAAGCCACTGCCAACTATGTCATCGCTAACAGCAACGAAATATCGTTCCAAAGTAATATTTATATCTTTTTCATATCTTTGAAGAACATCGAAGATAAAAAAGAAGAAGGTCAGAGGTCACGTTTCAGTCAGTTACCGCATTACATCTCTCTCTCTTTCTCTCTCTCTCTCTTCCTTTCTTATAAGAACATCCACAAACGAATCAAAAAAGCGTTGTCATTGTCGGTAGCTTGGAATCATTCGAGCAGCGGATTCCGTGTCCATGACTTGCGTCCTGTCTTTCCACTTATAAACAAGTTGAACACACGGTAGTAGGTACATTGAAATACACGTGTGTGTTGGGGGTGCGAGCTAGCTTTATCAAGTTGGACCATGACGACCCCCCGTCATTGTCACGCGATTATATCTCTCAACGAAAAATAAAGTGAGAGAGAGAGAGAGAGAGAGAGAGAGAGAGAGAAAGTTTTTCTTCGGCAGCAACGTGGTCCGACGGAGAAGAACATTCTCTCAAGTGAATCTCAGATCAAAAGAAAGAAGAACGAATATGACTCTATGCACCATTGTCTTTGATTTCTCGACCGGATTTTACGTGGACATTTCTATCATTCTCTATCGTACTAACATATACGAATGCATATCTCGTTATGTTTCACGTGTATACATTGAAATTGTTTATTCAAATGGAATTTGATTTCAAAATGCGTAAGTATTATTATGTATTTTATATTTATAATCGTTTAATCTTATATAATTTTTATTAACATTTATATAGAATATGTTTGAAATTTTTTTGATAAAATTAATATTTAATATGTATACTTGAATAAATTATTTTGTACATTTCATCAAATTATTTAGAATACTAATCAGATACTACGCATATTTAAATATTGTCTTCTCTTGTATTAATTCTTTTTTTTTTTTTTTAGATGAATTCCTAAAAAATCTCTGACATTTATCCATTAAAAAAAATTCAATCATTATCGATGTGTGTGTGTGTGTAATGATTTTAAGCGCTATACGATTGTATGTAAACGTTGGAATACTTTAGCGAGTCATTGTATTCATACCTCGGTGTTTATTTATTCGAATGATCGACG